TTTTTCAGAATCACACAACTAGTGTCTGAGGTTGGATCTGAACTCATGTCTTCCTGATTGCAGGCCCAGTGTTCCAACCCTTGTGCCACCCAGCTTCCCCTAGGGAGCATGAGTTCAGAAAAGACTAGCACCTCTGGTGTGAGGGCTTGCTGAGCCCTTTTCGGGGCTGCTTATTCAACTTTGGTGTGTACCTCTCACCTAACTTGCCTGTAGCTCCAAGGTGTAGTATACTCAGTGGCCATACCTCAATAAAATGATCTTGGCAGATGGGTTAAACTGGGTTGAGGGTAACCAATGGGCCTCAAACCCATCAGTGAGTTACCAGGATATCTACTCAAAGCACGGGAAGACTTGCCTGCAGCAGAATGGGTAGACGATAGCTGTTTGTTTCAGTACCATGAAGATGGCTGATGTAGGGGCTGGGGAGCACTTAGATCCTGATCAGACGTCGAAGGTGCCAAGGTCATCCACTACATCCCATGCCATCCCTCTTGACTTTTGTCTTGCCATTGAACTTCAATGACTGGAAGAGAGAGTGAGGCTGATGACTTTGTGCAGCTCTGACTCACTTAAATCCCATTCACATGCATGTCATGATGTCACCCCACAAGGTACTCTTTGACAACAAAGGACAGAGAAAATCAACAACAACATCTACCATTTCCTCTTATCCTATGTCATTCTTCCCTGTATATTTGTATTTCTTCTTAACAAGAAATCCACTAACACATGCAAAACTTTCCTTGAGTTCTTTTAACAGCTCAGGGTTACCAAGGTAGCAAGAGGTAGGGCTGCCCATCTATGGTCTATCAGTCTTGCTACATGCCTGGCCCACCTCATCTTATAATTAGACATGTTTTATTGTTTTTAATATAATATGGAGAAAACGTATTGTCATCAAAAAAATTACACTCATAACTTGGTGATTTTGGTCCTGTACCTTTTCCAAATAACTAGCTCTATCTAGCTTGTATTTTGATTTCTTGTGTTTATTCAATTCAATAAATAATCACCTAATGCACTAAGTGCTGAGGATACTATATCAGTGGACTCTTTGCCCTCAGAAAGCTTACAATGTGGGGAATGACTCATACAAAAATGTTTGCAATAAAATTGTTTATTTCCTCTTATCAGGAGAGCTGATGCATTAAAAATTATAGAAATAAAACAAAAAAATTAAAAAATGGAATTTCCCTTTCTTTTTATCTCTTGCTGTTGGGCTTTGTTGATAATAAATAGAAATGCCAATGATTTATGTGGTTGTATTTTATAGCCTGCTACATTGCTAAAGTTGTGTACTATTTCAAGTAGCTTTTTACTTGATTCTCTAGAATTCTCTATGTCATCATATCATTTGCAAAGAGTGATAGCTTTGTTTCTTCTTTGCCTATTTTAATGCCTTCAATTTCTTTTCAATCTCTTATTGCTAGAGTTAACGTTTCCAGTACGATATTGAACAACAGTGGTGATAATGGACATCCTTGCTTCATGACTGATCTTATTAGAAAGCTTCTAGCTTGTCGCCATTATGCTTGCTGAAAGTTTTATGTAGATGCCATTTATTAATTTTGAGGAAGACTCCATGTATTCCTATGCGCTCTAGTGTTTTTAATAGGAATGGGTGTTCTGTTTTGTCAAAAGCTTTTTCTACATCTATTGAGATGATCATGTGGTTTCTGTTAGTGTAGGTGTTGATATTATCAATTCTGCTGATAGTTTTCCTAATACTAAACCAACCTTGCATTCCTGGTAAAAATTCTACCTGGTCATAGTGTATTATTCTTGTGATAAGTTTCTGTAATCTATTTGCTAATATTTTGCTTAAAAATTTTGCATCTATATTCATTAGGGAAATTGATCTATAATTTTTTTTCCTCTGTTTTGATTCTTCCTGGTTTGGGTATCAGCACCATATTTGTATCATAAAAAATATTTGGTAAGACCCCTTGTTCATCTATTTTCCCAAATAGCCTATATAGTATTAGAAATTAATTTTTCTTTAAATGTTTTATAGAATTCCCTTGTGCATCCATCTGGCCCTGGAGATTTTTTCCTAGGGACTTCATCAAAGGTTTGTTCAATTTCTTTTTCTGAGATAGGGTTATTTAAGTATTTTACTTCCTCTTCTGTTTATTTGGGCAATTTATATTTTTGTAAATATTTATCCACTTCACTAAGATTGTCAAATTGATTGGCATACATTTGGGTAAAATAGCTCCTAACTATTCTTTTAACTTCTTCTTTTATTGTTTTAATTTCCTCTTCAGAAATTTGTGATAAAGAAAGAGGATCTCTCTATACAAGAAATTTTAAGAAGACAGTCTCCTGAAGTTTGCTTGGCAACACTTCAACCAGGAAACTTCATAAGATTATGTCCAAAACATTAAACAGCAGTATGAGAGGAGACTTTGGAAGACTTCTCAATCAGAGGAGAGGTGATTACTCCTTTCCTGGCCTGTGTTTTGGTCCATGAGTGACCACAAGCACTCTTTTCTTCCTTTGAACTGTGAGGATTCTCTCTATACTGCCACTAAAAGCTCCTCCAGGCCAGTGCTCCATCTCACCCCAGAACCACCACCCAGAACTGTGACCAAGATCCAAGCACAGGCAAAGCAAGAAAATCCTGCCTCAGCACCAGCAAAGAGATCCCTGCAATCCTCCTCTGATCAGGCACTAGATTCTCCCTCAGTTTGTGGTCCTGAAGCTCTAGAAATAGTTACCACCCCAGGGCTGCGCCAGGACTGAGACCTAGCTTCTTTCTCACTGTGGTTACAGACTTTTCCTACTGATCTTCTGAGCTCTATTTGGAAATTTTGGGTTGAGAAGTCAGGAAACCAGAACAGCTGCTTTTGATTCGATCCTCTGAGGCCTGGCTCTAGCTTAACTGAGGTCAGTTTTGCCTGCTTGTATGTGCTGAACTTCACTCCTCTCCCAGCCCGACATGATAGACTTTTCTACTCAACCATCCAGGTTGTCTTGGGTTGGAAATTTATTTCTCTCTGTGATACCAGGAAAAAAAGAATTGTGATTTTGAATGTAGCATCCTCCTCTTGGCCTATTCCACCAAGTCATTTTCTCAGGTTGGATATTCATGAGTCACCCCAAGTAGTTTGCAAGTCCACACTCATGGGTCCAAACCGGTTGACACAAATAGTTCAAAGCAAAGACAAAAGTTTTAGCATGAGCTTTCTAACTATAAACATTGGGGCACACTTTCCCACAAATACACAGTCAAGTGGAAGAGTGTACACATGCATAGAATATGCTAGTTGAAAGATACGCATGAAGAATATATATGGCCAAGCCAGTTCAAGTCTCTGCCACTTTAATACCCTTACTTCCTTTTTCTTCTTGTGAAACTTACATATTTCTCTTTCTGGGAACAGCATCTTTGCTGGGAAGGTCTTACAATTATATCCCCTGGCCAGTTTTTTTTTTCCTGAATCTCCCTCTGTTTACAACAGAACTGACTAGATTGTTTTATATATATATATATATATATATATATATACAGCACCCCAAATACTCTCAGAATGATTAAAATTGTTCATGTCAACTAAGGAAGTAAAAATAATATAAACATTTTTTTAAAATTTCCTTACACACAGTGAATGGGACACTCTCAAGTTTTGCAACCTTTACTATCAGTGAATAGGACACGTAGGGTGATCATTTTGTATCTGAAATGGGAAAAATCTGAAATCTATGACCCTTAAACTAGCATGTCTGAAACAGTGATTCATGGACTCAACACTTGAAGAGGACCATTATGAATTTTTCTCTTCTGTAGTCATTGAATTCCATTCACAACTCAGTTGTACTATAAATTGTTCTTAATTTAGTAAATGATAGAATAAGAAGGAATCACCTCAAATGGAATCACAATAACAGGGGAGAGAAAACAGAAAGACATGGCTCAGACCCATCCCACTTTGTCATAAGGATTCCATAGCTATAATGGTGACCAAGAGAGGAATTGGTGGCTTTTTCCTCACTGAGTTGAGTACTTCAAAATAGTGATGATCTCTAGAAGATCTCTGGATCTAGCTCTTCAAACAGGTAAGGACTCTGAAATTACACATCCCTCTTCTGGGAAAAAAAAGGAAAGTTGAAGTGAGAATGAAAAAATGTGGCTGAGGATACTGTTAAATTTGCAGTAGGTGGCAGTAGAGCTGGATATTCTGGGTAATGAGAATGGTACTTGAAATATGAAGATCATCTCACAGGGATCTGAGCCATACTTGCTCCATAAATCAGACTATTAGGTCAATGTCACAGAGGATAAAAGTTTTTTATCTCCTATCAAACAGGATATGTCCTTCTGAGGACAAGGTGTTTCTTGGCGGAGACATACAATATTCTTGATGTACACTGTGACTTTAGAAGAGTGAAATAAGAAATATCAGCTACATATTAATGGGAGAGTACAACTGGTACTGTGAGTAAATAATTGAACTGAAATGTAATTTTAGGTAAAGGGAAAGAAAAAGAAGACTCAGAAAGCAGTAAAGGTGACAAGAATCAGGGCAAGAGACCCTGAAAAGAAAGTGATTCATAGAACAGATTCAATCTGTTGATCATTGAAAATGTAAGAAGGTTAAGGAGCTTTGACAATCAAATGAGATTAAGATTGATAAGAAGTTTTTTAGGACCGCATAAAGGCCTATTACATGAGATCCAAATGTTTAGAGTTATTGAAATGATGTGGTGTGATTGATACTGAGTCAAAACATCAGCTCTGGGAGGCTCAGGGTCACCAACATTCCTCAGTGCTTTGGAACCAGCTCTAGGAGAACTTTCCCTCTGAAGTTCAGGAAACAGACTTCTCCCTGGGAGGAAGAAGGTGTTCTTACCCTTTTTGAATACAGCAAAGGCATGCAAATTGGGTCCCTCCATACTGGGATGAAAAGCAGCCCCAAACTTGTACCTGTACCTCCTCTGGGGGACAAGCTCAAACTCTTTGTGTCCTTCCACACTGAGGACTAATCTAGAAACTCACCATGAAATTTAGACTGGACAGGATTTTCCTTCTGACTATTTTCCAAGGTCGTTTTATGGAGAGGAAGGAATAATGTGAAGTGGTGTCTTAATGTGACTATTGATTTTAATATATTGTCTCTGTGTTGCAGGTGTCCAGTGTGATGTGCAGCTGGTGGAGTCTAGGGGAGATGTGAGACAGCTTGGGGCTTCTCTGCGGCTCTCCTGCAAAGCCTCTGGATTTACCTTCAGTAGCTACTGGATGAACTGGGTATGCCAGGCTCCAGGAAAGGGACTGGAATGGATTTCAACCATTACTAATGGTGGAATTAGTACAAACTATGCAGACTCTGTGAAAGGTCGATTCACCATCTCCAGAGATGATGGCAACAGCATGCTGTATCTACAAATGACTTCCCTTAATACTGAGGATATAGCTGTGTATTAGTGTACGAGAGACACAGTGAGGAAAAGGAATGTGAGACCAGACAGAAACTGCCCCTATCAGGAGGTGAGGGGCCAATGAGTCCAAAAGGGAGTTGAGCTCATGATGCACATAATACAAGATGCCTAGATCCAGTGACAAGTGTAGAGGGAATCTGAACCATTTCTCTTTACGGCCTGTGTTGTTTTTTCTTCTACCCCAGGAGAAAGCAATTTTTCCAGTAGCTAGCTATCATTTTAATGCCTGACTCTGACTCCCACTGCTCCCCATATTTAATTGATAGTTATGTCCTGTCAATTCTGCTTTCATCACATGTCTAGTATACTATCCCTTCTCCCCTCAAGGTACCACAACTGCCCTCAGGTAGTATGTTACCAGCTTAACCTGGACTATTATTCTAGCCTGCTGGTTGTTCTCCCAGCCTCAGTACTCTCTTCACTCTTGCCCATACTATATTTAGCTATCAAAATGATCTTCCTAAAGCACAGATCTCACCCTTTCCCTCAAATTCCAGTGACTCTGTATTACCTCCAGGACAAAATATAAAATCCTATTAGTCTTTTATAATCTTTTGTAGCATGGCCGTTTCCTATCTTATTCTACCTTTCTTCCTTCCTCATACTTGGCACTGCAGTGATGCTGACCTCCTTGCTATTCCTTTCAAAACAGATTAATTTCCCTACTTCATGTGTTTTCACTGGTTGGAATTCTTCTCTTAGGGGCAGCTAGGTGGTGTAGTGAATAAAGAACCAGCCCTGGAGTCTGAAGGACCTGATTTCCAGTCTGGTCTCAGACACTTGACATTTGCTAGCTGTGTGACTCTGGGCAACTCCCTTCACCCTGACTGTCTCCCTATCCCCTCCACCTCTTCCCTCCCTCCAAAATAAGAGAAAAAAAGAATTCTTCTCCTTCTCATCCCTGCCTGTTTTCCCTTTTGGCTTTTTTCAAATCTCAGCTGAAATTCTGCCTCCCTCTATGTTCTCCAATCCTAGTTTCCATGTCTTTGTGCTGGATATATCCTGCATATGTTTACACACACACAAATACACACACACATATATACTATATACATTTTGAACATAATTATTTACATGTTGTCTCCCTGAATGAGACTAACCTCATTAAAAACAGGGACTGTATTTTGCCTTTATATCCCCAGTTCTTGGCACCATTCCTGGCCCATAGGAAGTGCTTAATATATGCTTGCTGCTGATTTGACCTGTTTCTTCAAGAATGAGAATCTCCAATATTGCTGAGGTGTGTTCTGTGCATGATTTCTATGTTATGTACATATTGAGTAATTTCTCTGACATTTTAACACATTAAGAAAAAAATAGCCATAATTATTAAATATTGTTCAGAGCTAAATTTAACAAAAAGGTAAACTAAGGCACATTTCTCTAAGCAAGATAACATTTTATTATCAAGAGAATAAGATGATTCAGTGGCTTCCTCGGTCTCCAGTCAAAGACCTCAAGCAAAATGACAGCTCCCCTTTTGGAGGTTTATGGAGACTACAGAACAAAGAACAAAACAGTATAGGTAACATCATGCTCTTAAGGGCAAGAAAATTGGTTCTATATCTGAGGTGTGGGTTACACCATAATTGATTGGAAACTGGAGGGCTAGCAAGAACCCTCCTCCTTTCTTTTCCATGACTAAGAGGTAGCTATTGATTGAATCTACTTGTAAGGCCCAATATAATGGCTCAGACTTATTTGGACAGCGAACCAGAAATCATTGAAGGATTGATGGTGTTGCAAATATCTTAGGCCCAACTCTCTTAGGGCAGATCATATATTCCTTAAGGCAGGAATAGAACAGTGGTTAGCAAGAGAATTGGATTTTTAAACTTAATCCATTACAGATCAATGGAATTCTGAACTAAGTTTAGAGACAGAGACTGAGAAGTCAGTTATAGGACAAAATCAATAGGCTGTAAATAGGATCAATAAGAAAATGATACAGCATCTGATGGGATGGGATGTGAACCCCTAAAAGGTAAAGATCATGTTTTTGGCATCTGGATTCTTACTTTCCTATACGACTGGCAGTTAATATAACAATAATTTTAATTAATACTCTTATTGTTATGTGCATTCCTCATACACATATTTTCTTACTGCGCAGTGGTAATCTGTTATTTTCATGTTCCACAATTTACCAAACAATTGTCTAATTAATGGAAATCGACTTTGTTTCCATTTTTTTGCAGTTTTAATCAAAAAAGGAGCTTCTTCCTAAATGCCTTGTATTTTCTACTTTATTAAACACAGGGTTTCTCAAGTTCTTAAGTTTCTTAAGTTGCATTGTTTCTGGTTCTCCCTTGTGTAGTCTGTTCCAGTGATCTATCACTCTATTTTTTTAAATAATACAAATCTTCCTGATGAATATTGCTTTATCTGAGTTGTGGACATGCTATTCGTCTTCCATCTCTATTTCTTTTAAGAATTTCCCTTGATATTCCTGATTGTTGTTTTTCCAAATGAATGTTGATATTATTTTATGAAAGTCTATACTATATCCCCTTGGTCTCTTGATTATATTTAAAGTATATATTAATTTTGATAGTGTGTTTATTAGGCTGATTCCAGTATATTTCATGCATTTTGTAGTTACTTGAAATGGAATTTTTTTCCAATGTTGTTTATTAGTTTTTGTTTTTATTTTACAATTAGCAAATATGAGATTCTCTATTTTGTTTTAATGAAAATAATTTTAGTGAAACGAAACTTTGGACTATCTTGTGTTAACTCAGAAGGAAATCTAGTTTTACTTAGGTTCATTATTTACTTATGTTTATTATTTAATTTGGGATAAACACCTGTGTGGAGCTTGTCCGGAAGTGCAGATGTTTTATAAGCAAATCATTTGGTCAACACTAATCTCTCCAATTGCAATTAATTACTTAGCATATTTTCATATCCCATCCCACTATTTTTTTCAGTTGGAGTAAAAGTAGTATCTTTAAAGTAAGTTCATTTGCTTACTAATGGTCATCCAATTACAAAGACTATCATTGCCAATGTTTTGACATAAGGATTAGATAATTATCAGTCTCTGATCTTGCTGAGGGGGAAATTGTCATTGATTGCTGTTCAAGTGGAAAATTAATTGGTGTAATTATTAAAAAAAACAAGAGCAGATGAATATACATGTAGTTGAAAAGGCTTTCAGAGTTCTGTCTTCTATAGTATTTAAAATATTTAGTTTTTTACTTCTCAGTTATCTAATTTTTTGTTATTCTACTATTTTGTTCCATTTACATATAAAACAATTTTGGTATTCAGTTTTTTAAAATGCTGAGTTCCAAATTCTCTCCCTCGCCTCATCTCTACCTCAGTGAGAAGACAAACAATGTGGTATAAGCTATACATGTGAAGTCGTGCAGAATTTATTTCCATATTAGTCATGTGAAAACCAAACACAGACCCCCCCATAAAAACAGAAGAAAAATGAAGTTTAAAAAATAGGCTTCAATCTACATTGAGATTCCATTAGTTCTTTCTCTGGAAGTAGACAGCATATTTCATCATAAGTGTTTGGGAAGTGTCTTGGATGATCTTATTTCTGAGAATAGCTAAGTCCTTCACAGCTGACCACTTTACAAGGCTGGCATTACTGTGGACACTATTGTCCCAGCTCTGCTCACTACACTTTGCAACAGTTAGTACAGAGCTTCTATTCCCAAAATACTATTTAACTGTGCATACTCTTTCATCCAGCAACACCACTATTAAGTTTGTAGCCTAAATGTATAAAAAAAAGTGAAAGGACCTATACGTACAATAATATTTATATCAGCTCTTTTTGTGATGGCAAAGAATTGGAAATACAGGTGTTTCCCATCAATTGGAGAGTGATTGAACAAGTTGTGGATTATTAATGTAATGGAAAACTATCATGCTATGAGAAATGATGAGGATGATGCTTTCAGAAAAATCTGGAATAAATTTCTCTCCAGAATGTTCCAAATTCAGTTCCAAATTCTACCAAAAGTCGTTTAGTATGCTAATTTTCTCACATCCCCTCTAACATGTTTTATTTTCTTTTTTTGTAACAGTCAATCTGATAAGTGTGAGGTATTATATCGGAGTAGTTTTAATTCACATTTCCCTAATCAATAGTGATTTAGAGCATTGTAAAATGAGCTTTGCTATCTTTGATTTTGAACTGCTTGTTCATATCTTTGACCTTTTACAAATTTAGTAATGACTTGTATTCTTATAAATTTGACTCAGTTCTTTATGTATTTGAGATCGGGCTTTTGGTTATAACATTTTTTGAAATTTCATTTTGGGATTTCTTTCAGGAGGTGACTGGTGGATTCTTTCTATTGATATTTTACCCCTTGGTCCTAGCATATCAGGGTAGTTTTTCTCCATAATTTGTAGAAATATAATGTCTAAGCTCTTCTTTTGATGTTGGCTTTCAGGTAGTCCAAGAAACCTTAAGTTACCTTTCCTCTATTTATTTTCTAGGTCAGTTGTTTTTCCGACGAGACAGTTCACACTTAAACATTTTTTCATTCTTTTGATTTTGTTTTATTGTTTTTTGATGTCTCATGGAGTCATTAGCTTCCACTTGCCTACTCCCAATTTTGTTTTGAATTATTTTCTTCACTGAGCTTTTGTATTGCCTTTTCCATTTGGCCAATTCTATTTAAAAAAAAATATAGGCAATTGGGGTTAAGTAACTTGCCCCGGGTCACATAGCTAGTAAGTGTCAAGTGTTTGGCCTGAGGCCTGATTTGAACTCAAGGCCTGCTGACTCCAAGGCCAGTGCTCTATCCATTGTGCCACCTAGATGGTCCCAATTCTATTTATTTGTTTTTGTTTTTGTTTTTATTTTTTTTTTTGGTTAGGCAATGTGGTTAAATGACTTGCCCAGGGTCACACAGGTAGTTCGTGTTATATGTCTGAGGCCAGATTTGAACTCAGGTCCTCCTGAATCCAGGGCCTGTGCACTATCCACTGTGCTACGTATTTGATTTTCTTCAGTGA